TAGGTCCCCATACATTAATCTAGAATATAACTCTTTAAAAAAGTTAGCAAATTAACTTATGTGATAATAGTCCGACCCAAATCACCTAGCTCTATATGACAATCGAGCCAAGGAAGTAATCAAATATTATTTTCTTCGTTTGAATTTGATTGGGTCGTAGACCCCAGCTTCCGTTCGAGAGTCAAAGTTGGAATGATGATCACTTTGTAAGTAAATTTAGCACTAAGTACTGAAGCAGTGGACCTGCGGGTCTCTCTTTGTTTCAAATCGAGCCAAGACAACATCCCTTCATACAGGGATGCTCTCTTTATATATATATATATGAAGCCACATCACATGCACAAACACCAAAAACATACAAAATTAATCAAATTATTCTAAGTTATATTAGCTATATACAATGAACATGAGGTGTGCAACGACTTATATGTACGTGTTACAAAGGAAGACATATATAGAGTTTTTTTTTTACACTGAATGAAGAAAAAAATTATGGGACAACGACTAAGTACGTACACTGCCCATGTTTGGCCAGCCAATTATTTAACTTCTCGTGATTTATAAGGGACCAATGTCTTAGCTATCTTGTAAGTTTTACCTGGACAGTACCTGGTGAAATGTCTTGTGATGTCTATAAGTATGTTAAATCAAAAAATATATGGAACTCATAGTATAGATTGGTAAATATGATTTACATACTCGAAATACTATCACGGACCAACACACGCACACGCACACGCGCGCGCATATATATATATATTATTATTATTATTAGATAGTCTAATCTTCATGCTTAAAAATTATGCATTCATTTCTAACAGAAAAAAAAAAACATTTTTTTGTTTAATCCATCTTTAAGGAAATTAAAGAGAAAACTATTTCTAATTAAAGATAGTGAACGTGAGTTGATGTCACTAGTAATATTTTTTCTTAAAGTCTTACGTACGAAAATTAGTTGAACTTGGGCAGTAGGGTTTGAAAAAGCCCGTTTAAATTGACTTATTTTTAATATTTCAAAACGCATTTGTTATAATGTTTAGATAAAATAAGCCAAAAGTGATGAGTTATAATTTTTTAACTTATGACTTTTTGCTTAAATTAAATTTACGTCGTATGAGATTGATTAAAAGAAAATGTGCTTCCCGCCATTTATTGCATAATGTGACATCCAGCATGAGCAATGTCTCGTTGATGGAATAAAGTAATCATATTTAATTATATATGCAAATCCAGAAAAAGAAACTTTTCTCTTTCTTTTTGCCTTTCCCTTTCTTTTTCCTTGTTACGGACGCTGAATATTTTCGTAATGCTACCAATTATGCAGGCAAACCATAAAAGGAATGGTCCACCAATATTAATTATAAGTTTGTTTAACAGATTAGATTAGCTAAATTAATTATGGTGGGGGAAGGGTTACCCTACCCCTTTTTTCTTGATTTATAATTAAAAGTAGATAAAGCTGCCTCAACCATTTTAGAAAGTGCAAAGGAACACCAAAAAAAAAGTTGCCAAATTAAATAAAAATAATTTATTGGATTCCAATCCCATTAGTGATTAACATTAGATTAGATCTCTTAAAAATAACAATTAAGGTTATAAACTACTAACATGTACATGTCTGGGGTGATTTTTGGTTCTAAGAAGTTGACTAGAGACCAAAGAAATCTTTGCTGGTAAGCAACTCAAGAGTCTTTGAGTGTGGGTTGCTCCAATGAAGCCAACATATATCCTCACGAATATTATTACATTTTAAGAATGAAGCGATATAAATTTTGATTAATATATTAAGATGTATTTTTTTTATCATATTGATATGATAAATATTGCAATTTATAGTATTTCTCGTATAATTTTTGAATATCTAAAACTTTATTTTAAAATATCAAATCAATATAATCTAAATTAATTTTAAAAATTAATCAAATTAACCCTCGAGTAGTGGAATATACCGTTCAAAAGGAACGGAGGAAGTATTGCTTGCTAATTCCAAAAGGTTCAAAGTGGTCCATATTATTTTTCCACCGTGACATAATTCAGAGTAACAGAATGACTATAATCATTTTTCGAACTCAGCTTTAAGAAAGAGACTCTCATTAATTATCTTTTTTTGGGAGTTGGGATTTTAATATTGTTTGGAAGGTATTTTTTTTTACTTCATATGAGTAGTTATTGTTGTGCGTTATTTAAGGATCCGTTTCGCCATAGATTTTTCAAGTAAAATTTAGGTGAAATTTTGATAAATAGTGTTTGTTCATATAATTTGACATTATTTGGTAAAATTTTTTGGTAAATAAACCAAATTTCTAAATACTAGAAAAAATTAATATTTGAATCAAATCTCATTATTTGGGAACTTTTAAAAATCTTAAATTCTACATCAAAATTTTATCTTTTACAAAAACATCATCTATAGCATTTGTTTGCGTTGTATTACACAATTTTATACGTGAATACCACAACAGTGATGAAATATTCAGTGAATATGAAAATGATGAACAATCGACTTATGGTAATAAAGTCATGTGCTTCGTCTACTTCATGATTTATGGAATGATGCTTTTTGCACTCACTCCAAACTACTGCATTGCTCCAATGTCATGGACACTACTTGTTATTTGCCGCAACGAAGATCCAATTGACTTGTTGCGGAAGTCATCATGAATCTTGTTACGTCGACGTTTCTATCTTGCTATGTAATACAAACCTATGGTTAATTTTGATAATTTTTAAAACTTTTGGGTATAACTCATATTTATTAAAAAAGTGAAATATATTTCTCAAATATTATGACTAAACACATGATGAAATTTCACCCAAATAATATTTATCAAAAATATTTAAAAATCTATGATCAAACGCTAGCTTAGTTCTAGCAATAAAAAAACTCGTCATTTGTGGTTTGGTTGGGAGTTGGGACTATTGTCACCAAATTTGCGATACACATGAACTTTTGGTAAGTGGTAACAATGTCCAACTTAGAGTACAAGGGGTTTATCAAAATTTAACCAAAGTTCTTTCTTCATTTTAATCGATTACTATCATTCATTTCAGCCCAACTAATGACAATAATAATATATTCAATATAATTTCACTAGTGATGTCTAAGGAGGATAGTGTATATGCACTTTATTCTTATAAGGTAGATAAGTTGTTTCTAATAGACTATCAACTCAAATAAAAGTATTACAAAGCAGTTTGAAAAAAAAACCATGAATTGAAGAAACAAATTTCAGCCCAACTGCATTGGAAACAAATTTATAATCCGTTTGTTAAAGTTTTTAGTAGGCCAAAAGTATGTATTATTTTTTTAAAAGTAGGTGTTTCAACAATTTTTGAAAGAAAATTAGTGTTTTTAGAAAGTAGTAGAAGTTGTTTTTATAGATCAGTTTTTAAAAGTTAATTTGTTAAACACAAAATTGCTTACTCAAAAATATTGTATTAAAATTGATTTTCAGTAAAAAAAAAAACTTTTAAAAAACTATTTTCCAAAAAGAATACTCTTTTCGAAATAAACTACTTTCCTAACATCTATATCATGTGACTTGGGACTTGCTAACCACTTGTACCCAATAGTTCATCAATTGATTAATATAATGACTTAACTAGTTAACATTGCTATCTAATATGATAGATTTATTAGAAGTACTTTCTTAGTTTAATCTATTACTTACATGTTTTTATAGATCATGTACTTTATTTATTTCATGATAAAAATACAATTAATACTCTCAAATAAATAGTGCAATGATCTAAAGGTTATTATTTGAATTTCAATATGTTGAACCGTTCCTTTCGCATAAATATGTTTGAAAAAAAATCAGTTTACTGTAATTTATTCAAAATTGTGTTATAAAAAGTCTACCATACTCCCTTTCAAGTTTTTTTTGAAGACACATTTACTACCCACCCCCACCAGAAGACTTCATATTTTGTTTTTTTTTTCCTTTTTAATTATATCTATTATTAGTAGGTGTATAGTCTGATCTTTTTGATTTTAATAAATTCCAACGTAAGCAGAATATACAACTTGTATCCAGCATTAAAATTACTGAAAAATAATCTGCAGGAAAAAAATCTCTGTTGGTCACATGGAAAATGTTAAATAGGACAGCAATAATGTTTATAATAATTACATTTATATAAGAAGATACATTTTATAAAGTCCATGTGTATATGAGTAGTTCTGCAAAATCTAACTCTACCTTGGTGTCACCTAGCTATGAAAGATGCTATTCCCTATTTAGGTTAATTAATTAAGTATTTGTTTCCAATTATGAGTACTTTAGTAGTATTAAACATTGTATTTTGGGACAGGAATATACAATGTAATAAAAAAATGTTAGCTAACGTTAGCATATAGGTAAGCTTTGGAAAAAGGAAATTACATAGAGCTAGATGGTGAAAGCAATTAATGGTGAAGTAAATATAATTTTTAGAAGTCTGAATACAAGAAAAAATTGTACTAAGTGAGAACTGTTCCATAATCCATGTGATAAATAGTCCAACATTTAATTAAATACATTATTTAGCTACAAAGATATCGGAATATAATATTTTATTAATTTTTTAGAAATATATACATAAAATATTTAGTTTATGAAGAAATGATAGATTTACTGCTTTATAATTTGCGTATAAATTTATTTCTACTCAAAATATTAAATTTATTATTTAACGAGTGAATGAACAAAATGGAATAGTATTTTATGCTTATCTCTTGCATTAAATTGCATTTTATATTTAGAACAAGTTAGAGTTGAGTGGATGAACTTATTTTAAGCTAAATTGATTGATAAAAATAAATCAAAAATTATAAGTTAAAATTTTAAACTTATAATTTTTAGGCTTATAAATTAAAAACTAAAAGTCAATCCAAATTGTCTCTAAGTTAATTTTATTTCAAAAATATTACAATACTAAAAGGAAAATAGGATAAAAATAATTATTTTTCAGGTTGATTTTATAAAACAACAATAAATAGGGATAAGTATATTAATGGTCTGAACAGAGCATTTTGGTGAGGAAGGTTGGTTTTCGATGAGCTGTGTCTTCTTCTTCTCTCAATATTTTATAAACTCCCCTTCACATGGTCCCCTTTTTATCATAAATCTACACTTATTCTTCTAACTTTTTTTCTATTCAATTCCTAAAAAAAAAGAGATGTGGGAACATTTAGAGACGCCATGAAATTCCAAACCTTTGATCTTGTTCTTCTTCTTTTTCTACTACTTGAATATCAAGCTTCTGGGCTTAACAATGATGGACTTTTGTTACTGACATTCAAGTACAATATTCTGAGTGACCCTTTAAGTGTTCTGCAGAACTGGAATTCTTGGGATGATACACCATGTTCATGGAAAGGGGTAGGTTGTGGAAATCCAAATGCTTCAGACCCAAACCTTCGAGTGACAAATTTGTCTCTTCCTAATTCTCTGCTTCTTGGTTCTATTCCTTCTAGTCTTGGTATGATTCAATATCTTACAAATCTTGATCTTTCTAATAATTCCATTAATGGCTCTATTCCTCTTACTCTCTTTAGTGCCCCTGAGCTTCAACGCCTTGATTTTTCTAACAACAGAATATCCGGCCAGTTGCCTGAGCTTGTCGGACATTTAAATAATCTTCAGTTTCTTAACCTCTCCGGTAATGCTTTGACGGGAAGATTACCGGCAAATCTCACTAGGCTTAGTAATCTAACTGTTGTTTCTTTGAAAGATAATTATTTTTTTGGTGCTGTTCCTTTTGGGTTTGATTCAGTTCAAGTTTTAGATCTGTCTTCAAATTTGATTAATGGGTCATTGCCTCCTAATTTTGGGGGCAGTAATCTCCGTTACTTTAATGCTTCTTTTAATAGACTTTCTGGAGATATCCCACCGGAATTTGGCAGCAAAATCCCTCCAAATGCAACTATAGATCTCTCTTACAACAATTTCAGCGGTGCAATTCCAGAGTCAATTGTTTTTATCAACCAAAATAGAAAAGATTTTTCTGGTAATCCAGAATTATGTGGTGCGCCGCTGAAAAATTTATGCCCAATTCCGTCAACAGTAACAACTCTGCCAAATTCCCCTGAACCAACTTCTTCCCCAGCAATTGCAGCCATTCCGAAACCCACAGACTCAAACCCAGCCGCCGAATCTCCAAAAGAGGGCAAAAATGGGTTGAGAACTGGCACAATTATAGGCATAATAGCTGGGGATATTGCAGCAGTAGGAGTTTTAGCACTGATTTTCATGTACGTATACCGAGCCAAAAAGAAGAAAAGGAACATAGAAAATAGCATTAGAAAAGAAGCTGAAACTGCAAAAGATTTTGACTGGGCATCGTCAGCATCAGAAGAAGAATACAACTGGTTAAGGTCATGGACTTGCTTGAAAAAACAAAGGCATGGAGATGATGACGAATTATCAGAAGCTTCCCATTCAGAAAGTGAAAAATCCCAATTGGGTCATCCTCAGCAGAATCACGTGCATACAGAGCAGAAAACAGGTGAATTAGTAACGGTTGATGGAGAAAGGGAACTCGAATTAGAAACACTACTAAAAGCATCTGCATACATTTTGGGAGCTAGTGGGTCGAGTATAATGTACAAGGCTGTGCTAGAAGACGGAACTACACTGGCGGTGCGACGAATTGGTGAAAGTGGTGTGGAACGGTTCAAAGATTTCGAGAATCAAGTAAAGGTAATTGCTAAATTGGTGCACACAAATTTGGTTAAAATCCGTGGCTTCTATTGGGGAGCTGAAGAGAAATTGGTCATCTACGATTTCGTTCCTAATGGTAGCCTTGCCAATGCACGTAACAGTAAGTCCACTTTTTCCCATAGACATTACTCCTATGTTTTAGATCAAATAACGTTACATCAACTTTTTTATTCAGTAGAATCGCGTTTTTTGTTATTGTTTTACTATTTTGCTCCTGTTTTACAGTGGAGAATAAATTGAAACAAAATTGACTAGTCATTATGTGTGTACATTGTACCTAATCATCTCTAATTCTTAATTTGTTTCAATAAGTATCTTTTGCATAATTGTGAACATTTTGGAATATAAAAGTTCGGAGTAGGTTTGTACTTTAAGACATTTGGTTATGCTTAATATTCAAAAGAAAGGCGTAACAAGTCACTCAAATTAAGTTCACACAAGTATAAAATTGTGCGCAAATTAGAAAAATATTATGAATTTCTGTTAAAATGCGCGGGAAGTAAAGGAGATAGTGGACCTTGGGGTGGAGTAGTTGAAACTTTAGTGTTTGTTTTTAATGTGGAAAATAGCAGTAGTTCCCTCACTGCAAGTCAACCGTGTCTGTTTCTAAATGGGCGCCCCACAAATTCATAAATACCGCCAAACGCCCCCTCTTCTACTGTCACTTACATGGAAAATGACAACCTTTTTTTAAAAAAAATATTATACTCTGTAGGCCATAAGTATGCTCTTTTGTTATGTCAAATTCATGCATTTCTTTTGCCCACAACACCAATAATGTTAAAAGAATCTTCACCTTATTTACCATTTATAGTATGTTGTTTATTTTATAGATATCATTGTGAGAATCTTAGCGCTCAGTTGATTGACTACCTGATGTAATTATTACATGCGCATTTTGATGGTTTCAGGAAAGGCTGGTTCTTCGCCATGTCACGTACCCTGGGAAATCCGGCTGAAGGTTGCTAAAGGTGTGGCTCGTGGGCTCACTTACATTCATGAAAAGAAGCATGTCCACGGCAACTTGAAGCCCAGTAACATTTTACTAGGGGAAGATATGGAGCCCAAGATTGGTGATTTTGGAATTGAAAGGCTTGTAACAGGAGACAGTAGTCATAAGACCTATGGATCTGCTCGTAATTTTGGAAGCAAAAGGTCCACAGCATCCCGTGAGAGCTTCCAGGACTTTACATCTGGGCCTACTCCAACCCCAAGTCCAAGTGCATTGGGCATATCTCCTTACCATGCACCCGAATCGCTTCGTAGCCTCAAGCCCAACCCGAAATGGGATGTATTCTCATTCGGGGTAGTCTTGCTGGAGTTGCTAACTGGAAAGGTGATTGTCTCGGATGAAATGGGACCCGCATCGGTCATCGGTGCTACCACATCAGCAGAGGAAGAGAAGAGTAAAGTGTTACGGTTGGCTGATGTGGCGATACGTGCTGATGTGGAAGGGAAAGAAGATGCTTTGTTGGCACTAATGAAAGTAGGATATAGTTGTATATCACCAACACCTCAGAAGAGACCAAGCATGAGAGAGGTTGTTCAAGCATTGGAAAAATTTCCAACTAATTCAACCAGTTCATCATACTATTATGGACCTTAATTAGCACTGATTAAAAGATGGACACAATTGTAGAGACAAGAGACATTGTATGTAATGAGACTGACATCTTTGTTATTTTATTTTATTTTCAATTTATTTTGGTTTGTCTCTTAATATAGTATTAGCCATTGGTTTTCTTTTTTAACAGTGATTAGTGTAATTGTCCGTGCTTTGTTGTGTTGTAGGTTTCCTAAACCTTTTGGTGACTTTGGATTACCAATATATATGACAACTTATTTTGTGTTTGTATTTTTTGACTCTTTAATGTCATTCAATTTTATTTTGGTACTTGTCATGATTCGCTATTGATATTTAAGACCATTGAATAAAACACAAACTTTGTAATCACTAAACAACAGCAAATTAATTTCTGATATATTATATTTTTCCTTTCGGTGGACAAAGATTTTATGTCTTGAAGATGATTGATTTCATTTTGGAATTTAGAGAATTGCAATAATACTTATTTAGATAATGTTTGACTGTATGAAACAAGGACAAAGAAAACCACATTATTTGTTGCCAACGAGACACTTCGAATAAACTAGCATGATGAGAAATACTTTCGAAGTTTCGGCTATTTAATTTAACACAAAATATAAATAATGTATATTATACTAAATATATATACACACTATATATATATTAATATAAATTTACTATACATATAACACATATTTATATACGCTATATACAGTCGAATATATATAAAATGTGTCACCCATATTTGATTAAGTAGATAGGCGAAGTGTACATCTAACTAAGTCTTCCATTATAAATCCTAGGATGGGACTGGGAGATTAAAAAGTCTCGATCACGATTCACGCATTTGCCTTTAAGGAGCTTAGGCATAAGACTAAAACTATTAAGAACCACAAAATTCAAATGCTAATTATACCACTCCGCCGGTCAGATTCAAATAATTTATTCGGATGCTTGCCTAGTTGCCTTTTCAATTCAACAGAACATTTTTTTTTTTAAATGTAGAAATATGCTTTTTTTTTTTTTCTTAAGTAAAAAATATGTGCCACGTAAGCCATTAATTTTACGGTGGTAATAATTTTATGGTTAACTTAAGTTGATATGTTATATTAAGAAAATATTTATCATTTATAATAATAATAATAATATTTTTTTCACTGGATACTTATACAATTTTAATACGTATTACAAAAAATAATTTATTAATCACAAATAATACAAGTTTTATTCATGGATAATACATTTATCACACACTTATAAATACATTGTATCACTTTTTTTTTACCAAACAAACATAATATATTTTAAAAACATAACATAATTCACTTTTAATATATAACAAATTTATCATAATATTATTATGTATTGCTAAAATGATAATAAATATAAAAAGTATCGCTAAAATTACTTATTATTTATTGAAAAATACTCACCCCAATATTTTTTACTAATTTTATTTGGTTTACCTTATTTACCAATTAATTTTGTAAGAAGATAAAGAGGATCTTAGAAAAAGAACTCTTTGTTTCCAGAGGGTTAAACAGTAAGGAACGTGTTGTTGGGTCCTCTCATCAAATTGGGCCTATATGAATACCCATTGGGCCTACGATCCGAATCCACTGATCACCGACCCTTTTCAATTTGAAAACCTATAGCTGGGGCAAGAAATCCCGCTCAAACCCTCATTTCAAACTCTGTTTCTCTCTCTACGGAGCCTTCTAGAGATCTTTTCCGACGAGGAAAAAAGTGAAGGAGAAATGGCGGCACACATAGGAATGATGGATGGGGCATACTTCGTCGGTAGATCGGAAATCCTGGCTTGGATCAATTCCACACTTCATCTAAATCTTTCCAAAGTCGAAGAGGTATTGAATCTCTCTTTTACCTACTCTGCAATATCAGTTAAATTTCTAATTCATTAGTGCATCTTTCAAATTGATGCGCTTTTGATCCACGAACAGGCGTGTACTGGTGCGGTTCATTGCCAGCTAATGGATGCCGCTCACCCAGGGCTAGTCCCTATGCACAAGGTCAATTTCGATGCGAAGAATGAGTATGAGATGATCCAGAACTATAAGGTTCTTCAGGATATATTCACTAAACTCAAGATTACCAAGGTTAATCAATTTTGAAATTCTGTTTTTTTTTTAAAAAAATTAGTTTTATCCTTGTTAATCTCTTTTGAAAATTATTCTCTATGTTTACTGAGTGACATGCGTTTAAATATTTGGATTTGATCTACGTGGCCGTACAAATTGCTGGTTTTTTTCTAGTCAATTGATGTTAAATTCTATGTTTGTGGTATTAGCACATTGAGGTTAGCAAATTGGTGAAAGGAAGACCTCTTGACAACCTGGAGTTTATGCAATGGTTGAAGAGATACTGCGATTCTGTTAATGGAGGCAATCTTCACAGGTAACCTTTTCAACCTACGTTTCTCTGTTGCAATTTTTTAATTTTATTCTTTTCAACAACCTTACTTATGGTCTGTGTATGTTTGTGCTGAGGCATGGAATTACTGTTATAATGGAAAAGGTGAAAACTGGAAATTAGGGCACAGAAATTGTTCACCAACGTAGAGATAAATAAAGAAAATGTCCAGCAAAGAGAGTTGAATATATTACCTAGATGTATTGAATAGGTAAAATGGGTCATATTTGTTGAGTAAAATTGGGTTGAGTTTATGAAAAGGTTATGAACTTAATTGCCACATTTGCTTGGGTCAAAATGAATTTGTGTTGCAGATCCTATCCCAGCTTGCCCCTTGCAGAACTCAAACTTCACTTGTTTGTCTTGATTTGTTCTGTTTTTTAAATTTCCTAGTTTGCAGCTATGCAATTGAGTTGTTAAATAACTGTACTGAAGCTTCGTATGTTGTTCGGTCTCTTAAAAAATAGCTCTATGTGTCGGATCCTCCAAATGCTATGCTATGCATTTTTGGAGTATCTGACATTGGTGCGGCAACATTTGTGAGGATATGAGCAACATAGGATCCTTTCACCTGCATTAGGGCTATGTTTCCAGTCTTGTTTTCATTTTTTTTCTCTTTTTTTTAATAAAGGTTTCTGATGTTTTAATTTTGTTAGTTGTATCGTTATCCAAATTGACCCAATCTTTTGAATTGGTGGATATAGGCTACATCGATTGTAACTTTTGAGTTCAACCAGTTAGTATTCACGGAATTAGGATTTTTAATGGATCAGGGTTGACACCCCTATTCTACAACGATAGAACATATATGTATGGTTACTTTTTAAGCCCACCACAGATCCTATCAAGCTCGTACTCCTTTTCTTAGTTGCAAACTGGAAAAAATAATTATGAACCCTGGAATTCTAAACTGTTAAGATAAGAATATACTGGCCAGAAGCTCCTTTATTCTTCTATCACCAACCACGTCCATCATCATTGTTTCTAGACAATCCTTACTCTCCACCAATGCTTGCAGAGCATGGTGAGTACTCCCAAGTCCATATAGAGAAAGGTTGCTGTATGTTAACAACAATGACAAAAAATCCAAAAATAGTATAGTGTTATAATGGATCTTTATGAAAATGAACGTGGCTGGATGTGCTCTCTTCAGCATGTGTTACACCACCACTCGAATATAGTGTTGAATGGGCAAGGGTTTTGAATGAAATATACTTAAATAAGGCAGAACAAATTTAGAGGAATTATAGAACCCAACCCTCCAACTAGTTCGTGGTCTGAAGAATAGTTCATAGTTTGTTGATTTATTGTATGAATTGCAAGGTAGCCTTGTGATGCTACTTGTGTAGAATTACTGTATGACCTTTCATATTTATGGTTCTGCCTGCAATGTATGGACTATTAGCTCAATCTTATACTCTCAGAAATTGTTTACGTGCAAGTTAACTTGCATTAAGGATTCCTTGTTTTACTGATTTGAAATTGTAATGTAGCATGTGCTTAAGTGAGGGTTATACCTTTGTTCTCAACTAGGAGTACTAAATTGACATAAGAAACTTGCCTAATGGAGAACTGTTGTTTCTTTTCTTTATATCAATGACAGTTACAATCCTCTTGAAAGAAGGGAAGGGTGCAAGGGTGCCAAAGAAGTGAACAAAAGATCTGCTCCTTCACAAAATGCTACCAAAAACGCCTCAACTGCTTCAAAGCATGTCTCCCATAACTCTAGAAGAAATGAAGTACCTCATGTAAGCAGCACAAATCAATCTGGTAAGATCTCGAGGCCTTCTTCAAGTGGAGGATCGTCAACCTATTCTGAAACAGAACGTACTGCACATGAACAACAGGTAATACTAATTGATCAGGTATGGTTTTGTTTGAACCACTGAAGACTTATTACTAAATTCAATGCAGATTACGGAGTTGAAGTTATCAGTGGATAGTCTTGAAAAGGAAAGGGACTTCTACTTTTCAAAGTTGAGGGACATTGAAATCCTGTGCCAATGTCCAGAGATTGAAAACCTACCTGTACTACTCTTTCTATTCTCTAATCAGTAAAGTTATGCAGATTTTTTATAGCAGCATATTCAATTTCGTTTTTATCTTATATCTTACAGGTGGTTGATGCAGTGAAGAGGATTCTGTATGCTATGGATGATGACGCATCACTTGTAGATACTGAAGCCATGGTATCTGAGCAACACCAGCAAGTAGAGACATTGAGTTGCATATCTGAAGAGGCAGAAGAAAGGCTGAGGGTAGACACTCAAAAGAGGAAAAACATTGTCAATGTTGACGTTGACCTTGCTGCCAGCAACACATTGTCTCCTAGGCAAAGGATTTCTGATGCTTCTGATGTCCATTGCAGTGGATCTCTTGTGACATATTGATCAACCTTGTCTCCTGGATAAATGATTGGGGAATAATTCCTGCTACCGTCTTTGTTACTCTAGATATATGTTGTCTGAGCATACTTCATTTCTAAGCAATACCGTTTGAGGAATTCCATCAGTATAGAAGTAGTGAATATAAAAGCCTATCTGGTTTGTCTGATTGTCTTTTGTGTACAACATTGCCCTATGTTATTATTGTTCTATAGCAAGTATTGGCAACTGTACTGGTTGCTATGTAGTCACTGCACTGTAGTGCAAGTCTTGGGTCATTTTTCTTATGATGATTACTGTGGTTTAATGGATACTTAAGTTTCAGTCGTCTTTTTGCGTATCAATTTTCATTTCTTATCCAGTGACTTTAGCTTATTTGTTTTATTATTACTAGCACTATCAGTAATTTCACCATGGTGAATGTATGTGGAATTAAATACTAACTACTATGTCAAATTTGCAATGTATATAAACTTTTACTAAATGATGCACAATTGAAAGAATACCACAAAAGAGTTTCTTGGTTCAAATTTTGTTACATCTTGTCTTCACAAATTATTTACTTAATTGGTCAAAAAAATATAATCAGACTTGCATGTAATGTGTATTAAATATGTAATTATGTATGCATCTCTATCTATATGGTAATTGGCATAGGATTTTGATTTTTGAGGAAATAACAAAACATAAAATTAGAACCAACTGAAACGACCAATCTCTAGGTAACCACCAGTTCGCACAATAGACGGCCTTAAAATTAGGACCAATCACTCACATAAAAGTCTTTCCCCTTTAAGAAATCCAGATTTACAATTTGGAATAGTAGCTATCGTTATTGTTGAACAAGAATTCTGGAAGAGCTGCAATATGAATTCATCAACCAATAAGGTATGATTTGTAGATCCAAATCACTCTTTTCTTTTTTGTCTTTGCCCGTCCAAAAAAATGGAAATTTGTGTATCATATTTTGTTAGTATTTACTTAAAAAGATACTGACATTACAGGGTACACAGGATGTGAAGGCACCAAACCAAATGGAAAGTGTGAATTACGAATCATCAGTTGGACAAGGACAAGAACAAAGACCTGTAGAAGTAATTCATCAGCCACAAATTCAATCAAACACTAGCGGTGGTGTATTAGCTAATGCTGCTGCCTCTGTTGCATCCACCCTTGAGTCCGCCAAAAGAGCTATTTCACGGAAATAACTCCATAATATATATATATATCTCTTGTCTAATTTTTCTAATACCTACTTGTTTATTTCTAAATGCGAAAACTTCTTCATGTGACTCTATTAGTCTTCAGAAAATATTCATCATGATATCTATTAATATTATTCACTACTCTTGTATAAATATTTGACTCATTTTAGAGATATATTGTTAATCATAATTACTAGTGTTTCTGTTATGTTAAGTCAAATTAATTAAGAGAGTAAACGAGACAAGAAAATATACAAGGACAAAACGATGAAATCGGACTTCTAAGTTTTTATAATCTTGTCCTATTTTCTTAATTTTTTCACGTGACTCAAACTTCTAACCTATATTATTCTCACTCTTTTATAAAAGATAAAGTTCGATTTATTGCATTGCCAACGATTCTTTACTTCTCATACAAGTAATATGTGATTTGTTTGTATTTGCAAATTTAAAAAGGGAACTTGCTTTTAGTACACGTACGAATCACTAACGGATTGAGAGTATATTGTTAAAAGAGAGATGCTTTCTTAGCCAAAAAGTGAAATAAGAATAAATTTGCATACTTTATTCTCCTCAAGCATTATCAGAATCATATTCTCTTCTTCTTCTTTTTTTTCCCCTTTAAGATTCGAAAAAAATGCGATTCATTATTTGTATACAAAAACTATAGGCTTGTAGGGAAGTGTGATAAACAAAGTTGTCTTTGAACAAGTAGTAGTTCATTGTGGAGCAATGGGAATGTCGATTTCCAAGTTTGTAAAAATGTTATTTGCAAAGAAAGAGATGAGAATATTAATGGTAGGACTCGATGCGGCTGGCAAAACAACCATCTTGTACAAGTTAAAACTCGGGGAAATTGTCACTACCATACCTACTATTGGTATTTTTGCTATATACGTTTAATTACTATGAATTCTATATAGGTTCAATTGCAAAGAAAAACCTTAATATTTGATTATTATTTTTAATATATACATTAATTGAAACCAGGATTTAACGTGGAGACAGTGGAGTACAAGAATTCCAGCTTCACAGTATGGGATGTGGGTGGACAAGATAAGGTATTTAATAAATTAATTCTCACATAAATATATATTATTAGAATGAAAGTTAGTTACTACGTTGATGATGATTATATTAATGTAATTAATTGTACAGATCCGGCCTCTATGGAGGCACTATTTTCAGAACACACAGGGTCTAATATTTGTTGTAGACAGTAATGATCGAGATCGAATTTCAGAAGCCAGAGATGAGCTACATCGCATGCTTAATGAGGTAAAATACTCTCTGTCCCATATTAGTTGTCACATCGATGATGGATAATTCATAAATTCTCGTAACTTTTAAAATACGTACAAATTCATGTGTTATGTAGGAAGAATTACGAGGCGCTACAATTCTTGTATTCGCGAATAAACAAGACCTTCCAAATGCTATGAATGTTGCAGATATCACCGATAAACTTGGCCTGCATTCACTCCGACAACGACGCTGGTAAACCACAAACTTAATAATATATCACACTGCAAAAGAATTTTTGTAGTACAATTTTTGTAGGAATTTTAATATTTTTTGTCAGCAGACTAAAATAATTAACACTACAACAAAAATGATCATTATCGGTAATTAATTGTCGTGGCAATTAACACTCTTTGTATATGTCCCTAAAGCCTTTAGCGACATTGGTTCTAATGACACTTAACTAATGTCAGTAAAGACTTTAGTACTCTTTATTAATGTCAATATTTATTGACGCTAAAAGTTGTTTTTGTTGTAGTGTCACCTGCCTAGCCGTAATAGTAATTAGTTCGTATTTGGTGTATACTCAATGGATAATACAAGTATAAGAATAAGTGTGTTAATCGATATACACACTCAATAGAGGAGTGTGTTAAAAGATCTGAAAAACTTTGTTCTATTCAAATTGTAAGAGGACAAGAAATCTCATTTTTCTCCGTGTTTATTTTTAGGTACATTCAAAGTGCTTGTGCAACATCTGGACAGGGACTTTATGAAGGTCTTGATTGGTTATCACATAATATCACTGGCAAGGCAAGAACATTATGGCCTTTTCACCTCCTCTTTTAATTTCATTTTTTTCTCACCAAACAAAACTGAATTTACTTGGTTAAATCATAATTGCAGGCATAAATTCAAAGCAGCATCCAGCTCAAGAAAATCCTCTTCTTTAAACCCCCAAACGCGTTGATTTTAATAGAAGCTATGACTATACGTATATTCTGATGCAACATTTCATTATTGTAAACTACAGTATTGAATTCCATGATTTTTGCCTATCCGTGTATGATTGAATTTCATAAGTTATGACTTTATGTATATGGTTGAAAAATTAAAGTCACTGGATATTCCCAATGTAGACTATAGGGTAAATTCAATATGATAATTAAACACTCATCAACATTCACGACTTCATTCTCCTATTAAGGCTTATCCGAAAGAGAATATCGTAATTCTTCACGGTGAATATCTAAACGGGTTGTTTGATGTTCAGTAATTCTTGTTTAAGCAATTCATACATATTTTGATCTAAGATTACACTCTTCCGAATTTAAGCAGTAACATATTCTTCCATAAATCTAAAAATATAAAAGAAATTAACAATGCGTTTTCACAACTCGACCGCTACATCAATTCTATTCCATTTAATCCCTCTTTCATAGCGGCATATTTTTCGGGCCAAGTAATATTACTTAAAATGCTAGACGCGCAAATAATGGTTGTGGTTTTGGGAATAAATTTGAGAATAATCAATAATGTAATGAAACTTCATGATGTATCAAATGACATTAATCATTGATAAGTTGGATTTTTTAAATTTTATAATGGAAGAACTTACTACCTGAGCCCTTAAACAGCCTTAACCAAAGAAGGCCCATACAGCCACATATTGTTACTTCAATTGTCTTAATTGACCTAATATCTTAGGAACAAGAATAAAGTGTAGTTATTGACCACCAATGTTTTTTTATTAAATTCAATGCAATAATACATAAATGTAAAGTTGAAACATAAATCTAACGGAAGCTGCTAATCATTTATTTTTCAACAATGTCATACTACACCACAATGAAAATTTAATGTGGATCGAAATCTCACTAAGACGCACTAAGATCGAGTCAAACTTCAATAATAAACATGTCATGACATATCTGCAACAACACGCATGTAATATCTAGGTCGATCTCAGCCAGTTCCTTTGTTTTAGCTGGGCAATTCGACTCACCTATCTACTATAATCGAATGTAACGGCCATCTTGAACGACAAAATACACATTATTTACTTTTTTTTTCTTCTTCTCTTGTACTTGCAGCTTGGACATACAATTATAAGTTTGTAACGCTCCAAACTCGGAGACACATACCATTTGGAAAATCAAAATAACGCTAGAATGCAACATTAACCGCTTGTCGTTCTCTATGTATATCATCAATTATCTATCATTACTTCGGTCTTTACAAATTGGTTTCATTTTTACAATGTCAGTGTATATTTATCTAACTAGTCGATTTTAGGGTCCTCATATGATGAGACACATTTGCACACTCTGAAATCATAAGCAAAATGTAGAAATTTTGTGGAAAGAGAGAGGAGCAGGTATATGCAGGGCCTCAAGTAATTAATTACGTATGACATTTGTGCTACGGCACAATTAATCGTCTTTGTTTGTTCATATCTACAACGTAATAACAAGTCTATTAGCTATGTTTGGTCTTGTTTTCTGCAAGGTCTTATATAGTACTATCTACACAAATGTGAAAAAAGACAGCTCCTCATGTTTGGTCCTTAACCCATTTCATCAGAGCATTAATTAATAGAACAAATAAGTACTGAAAAAATTGAATCATTTCTTTTTAAAAAATTTATATAAGAAACAAGTTCAACCTTAGCTGTCCCCCATCTACAATTTCCCCTTTTGTTTGATCTATCACATGATGAATACTGTAGTTTTGCCTTTTTCATAATCTGTTTCCAATTGTCTTATGTTTTTTCTAAAAAAATCATCTAGTCTAGTCTTAAAATAGAAGGTTAGCTTAAAGTGATTCAAAGACAAAAAGTTGATTTAAATGATAATAATTCTTCTTAGTCTTCAATGTTAGTAGCGTACAAAATAAAGTGCCACAAAGTTGCCTAACCTTTAATATCCAAGAATTGCATACAGATACAAACACCTATAATTTGTTGGTGATTTTAATATCCTCTTTATTAGGGTTTCAAGATTCTCATCTGTTTTGCCAATATATGATATATGGTAGGTACCAAATTGGACCAATATTATCAACCAGTGTTATTGGGTTTTGGGTGAGTTCGTACGGTGTCGCGTTGGTTAGGGAGTGTTTTACCCCAATGTAAAACTTCTTAGCATGAATTTGGATTTAGTCGGACTCCAACGTAGGTATTAGACACAGAATGGAAAACCAAAAAAAAAAAAAAACTGGACCAATATTGTATTTGTCTTTGCCTCACACCAATATTTAGGAAAATATTCAAAACCCAAACTTGTTTTTTTTTTGTTGTGTGTGTGAAGGAATAATGCACAGTACTCTAGTAAATATTGCAGAGTAGAACAGAGACAAAAAGAAAAGGAAAGATGAAAAAAGAAAAGAAACTCTATTATCTAGGAGATGTATAATTTGCCAGCGGAGTTTACTCCTAGAGTTGTGGTCAAACTAGCAAGTTTTTTAACGCTATATTACAGTGTTGTTATTCTAAAATAATTGGGTGGTCCCTAATTAAGAGTATCATTACATAACGACTTTCAAACACACTCAGGACCCAAAGATTGGTCACTTTCTACTGCTTAAGAAAGTTGTAAGTTATGCATCCATTATTATACATCAAAATGTTATCATATATACTAGTACGATATATGGCAGCTAAGAATCCGTTTAGTAGTCACAACAATCATTTTTATCTGTCTTGTCTTCTCAAGGGCGGAGCTAGAAGTTCAGGTACAGATTCAGCCGAATCTAGTAACTTTTGCTCAAATACTGTATTGGTATTAAGAAGTTTTATTAAATATGTATAAACGTTTACGTTTAGAACTCAATTACTAACACTTGAAATCATCATTAGATCATCTTAATGATGACATTGTGTTATGCATATCGGGCTTATGTATTCAAGCATACAGCGTCAAGCAGTTTCACTTTCTCCTACCAATTATGTGCCTAGAAGTGGACTATATTGACAAGACACATAGTAAATAGACAAGGATTGCTATAAAACCAGGGGCAAGTATGAATTAGGGACAGTAAATTCAATGGTGCATCACCTACTAGTACTTTTGGATTAGCTAATAAGTAAACAAAAGTGTATGAATGGTTCATTGTTTTTCAAAATAAGGTCTAAGTTTAGGAGAAAAGTCTATGCAACAACTACTGAAATCCCACTGGCCGACAATCTATTCCTGCCCTCGAGACATATCTCTCCACATTCTAATTTTATATACTACTACTTCAGTAGCATATAGTCTAATGCCAACCTGTCTTACTTTGAAAATCTTTCAAAGAACATATAATCCATTTCTTGAAAAAACAGATAAACATGGGGGGCATACATCTCTATCTATGATCCCACATCCAAGAATCAGGATCAAGGTATGGCTTTTCACAAGATTCATCTTTGACATACAAAGGAAACATAATAATTGATATCTTGGAATCATAATTCATCGATGATAATGATTGTATTCAACATAATTCACCAGCATTGATTCAACTCAAGGGAAAACTCCACCAATCCCATATCCAATGAAGGAGGGGGGTGGAGTTGATGTTCACATAGTCTAGATCATCGGACAAATTAAGTCCAGTAAAACTTAAATGGAGCATCAGAGCATTGTGCAATTGCATTTTTAAGAGAACATACCAAAAAAGAGAGTAACCATTGCCGAAATACTAGATAATCTAGAGAACAAGATATCGATCAGTGAAGATTACTACCCAGTGGAGCTAGTGTCATTCGCTGATCTTGAGTTTTGTTTCTCTTATACTGAGGCTCAGGTGAGGATGAAATCGAAGATGCTACTGACCATGATTCATTCGAGCTCTCGCTACTAAAATATGCATCAATAACACCACTTGGACTACCAGGTACCGAATGATGTTTGCGCTTGAGACTTTGGCAGAGCTTGTAACATGAAGTGCCCATTAGCTCAAGAATAAGATCATTGCATTCCTCAAAGCTGTCCTGTTTATTGATCAACAACTTTAATGTTACAATAGACTCAATGCTAATCAAATTTAGATGTTAAAATTCAAATGTGAAAGACAACAGACCTTTCTGACTTTAAGAACACTCATGAGCTGATTCTGGTATTCCATAGCATTGTTAGGCTCAATCTCATTGATCACATAAAACATTGATGCAGTTGCAATAACAGATGGAGGATAATGCAAGAGCCTAGAATCTGCATTCAATTCGAATAGTTTGATGATCAACCACTAGTACTAATTGTAGAACAAAAGATTTGTATTTCATCAATGAAACAATCAAAATCAAAAGCAGGTAGATTTCTCACCAGTGATAATATCAAGAATGAGGCGTTCACACTTCTTAAGAAAATCCAAATGCAGGTTGGTCATGAATCCAAATCTCCTCATTATATGATCAATGAAAGATAACGGTGTCACCAGATTCATTTTCCACTTAAGAGTAGAAAGCACCAAGAGTTCCATTCTCTGTATAGTCTTTGCCTCAAACACAAATTTAGAATCAGCAACCTAAAACAATAAAAACAGAATCAGCATTAGATACAATAGACTCCCTAAATGAACACATAAAAACTGACACTCAGACATTTATACAAACACCAGCATTGCACATTTCAAGAAACATACTTGTAGGTCTAATAAAAGGGGAACTTGGGTCTCCTCCACTTTAGCAGCAATGGAAAGACAGGCAACAGCAGCAAGCTGACTCATCCAAGGCTTATCTTTCTGAAAGCACAATCCAGACACAAACCTATCAAAATAGTTCACAGCTAAAACAGCAGTAGTAGCAGTAAAACCATAGTAATCAATGACCCTCAACATCCAATCCAAAGCCTCTTTTCTAACCCCCATTAAAGACCCATCTGAGATTAAAGATTCAAAACCCAAATGAAACTCTTTTTCCTTTGATAAAAGTGTGGCAAGCTCATCATGTTCCCAAAACATGTCACATTCTAATAAAGGCAGAGTCTTTTTAACATTTTCAACCCATTTTTCATTTCCCACATCTAAACTAGACCATTCACCTAAATCATCATCCAAGAATCGATCTTCCTCACAGTAAAGGCCATCAAGAAGAGCAGAAATAGGATTTTGGAGCTGGGAATCTAAAGGGAAAACC